CCCTAAACATTGTTTGCTTCACCTCAACTCTTGTCAGTATGCTGAAGCTGACAGGGATCCCACTACAGTGGCTGAAAAAAACAAAACAAAACAAAGAAAAAAGCAACTACACAGGAAAACAAAGAGACAAGTGACACCACTCACCATTAGTGCTTGAACTGTGCACATGCTATTGGACTGTACAACAGCAGATAGACCAGAGAAGAACAGCTCTAGTTGGTAGAGAATTGGCCAGATTCAACATTCACATAGCAGCCCTGAGTGGAACTTACTTAGCTGAAGAAGGACAGCTTACTGAAAAAGGAGCCAGCTACACCTGCTTCTGGAGTGGCCATAGTAAAGAAGAGCCAAAAGTGAAGCTGCACCACTTTTACATTGGCTGTCTGAGAAAACTGAGGATAAGATGGCAAGACAAGGTCCCAGACACTGAGGTTCTCACACAGGCAGGCATTCGAAGTATCCACACTGTTGATGAAATCACAGATGAGGTGGGTAAGCCATGTCGCCAGGATGTCAGATGAGTGACTGCCAAAGAAAATGTTCTAGGGTGAGCTAAAGGAGGGAACACACTCACAGGGAGGCCAAAAGGAACATTTTAAGGACTCCCTCAAGTCATGCTTGAAACATTTCAACACTGACCCAAAGTCTTGGGAAGATCTTGCTCATGACTGTTCCGTCTGGCAAAGCTTCATCCATACTGGAGCCACTGTCTGAGTGGAGGAGAACTATTGAGGCAGAGCAGAAGCTCAAACAGCATAAGTCTCACAACAGCAGCACGTCTACTATTGATCAACCAACCCAAAGAGGCATCTCTCTCAGTGTGCCACAGGCAGTTCAAAGCACAAATTGGCCTGGTCAGCCACTCACATGCTCACAGGAACCAAACCAACCAGTGATGTTATAGTCATCTTTGAATCCGAAGGACAAACAACAACAACAGCCTGGAGTGGGTAAGACAGCTGGGTAACACAGAGCAGAGAGAAACATAGGCTAAAATGGCATAACTTCAAGCTGCCTAAACAGTGCTTAAAACTAGATTTAGGTGTTAATGTGTAGACAATCCAGGGGTTAAGAGCTCCAGAAGTTGCCAAAAATTGATGTGTAACAAGGCCCGCTCACATTCACATGGTTCCAAGACAATTTTTTATTAAATAAACCCACCAATATCTATTTAATAAAAATCATTTTTGAATGAAAATATATCTTTAACCAACTCTAATATCAGATGTTCATAGGATGACCATTTCATAAAAACTGCTTTCACCACAGGTCCGAGCCTGGGAAGCAGCACCCAACTTGAGTTACTGGATAATGTGCCAGCATTGTCATCTGGGTTGTACTGCTGGGAAAGAATCTTCCACTATGACGAAGATGACAGAAATAGCTGCTGTGGAGTAGCTCTACTGCAGCTGAATGTGCTGTAGCATAGACTGTGCAGGTGTCCCTTCTCTGTTTATTCACAAAGCCTTCATTCCTGTCCCAACAACTCCTTTCTGACTTTAACCTTCCCTCAGGCCCCATGGAGAAGATGGCTGTACCACAGGGGGATGTGTGGCTTCCCTGAATTCTGTCCTTATTCCTGTAATAAAAACAGCACCTGTTCTGCTGCATCAGGACCTCTACATCTGTGGAAGGAGCTGAATTAGTCTTCAGGTGCCAACCTAACTCTGATGGCTCTGAGAGTTTTCAATATGCAGTGAAAACAATTTAAAATGGAAGGGCCTAATTTCGCTGAGCAAACATAACTCTAACTCTCCAACTAGAGTTACTAGGGGTGGTGGGTACTCAGCACTTCAGAACAACATCCTCAGGATTTTTATGCTGCTTGTTAATCCCAGAGAGTTCCATGTTATGCAATGCAGAGATAAGGTTACTACTAAGGTATAAGGTATATACTAATCACAGGTTAACATATCCAGGCTGCGTGAAATAAAAACCTGTGGGGCCTGAGGTTAGACCATCGCCATTTTTCCCCTTGCTTCCAGCACACTGACATCTGTCACCTCTCAGCCAAAAGAGAAGCTTATGTTCCCCTTAACCAGTGTCAGCAAACAGAGTGATAATTATTAGATTTTTCTCTAGCTGAATACAGAATTTTTTTGAAGTAAATTCCTGGGGCACTGAAGGAAAACCTGATGATTCAGTTCTATTCTGCCTCAAAAACTAGCTCCAAGCTTTCATTTCCACAAAACTGCTTGGAAAAGTATATGTATATCTAATGTTTTCTCTCTGGTTGAAATACAAAAAAAAAAAAAAAAACAGGGGAGGAATGGAACTGAACAAAATCTTCATTATAAAAAGGCATTTTTATATTATACATTTTTTTTTAATGAAAATTGTATTTAAATATTTCACAAAAGGAAGATACATTAGAACTGGGTTGTTTTCTGAAGCCGGCTACATAACCATTTGGTTACATCTGGTTCCCTGGCTGGCTGAGCATCTTAGTTGGTGCAAACTGTTAACAGACCTTAGCGCTGTTTCTGGAATATCAGATTGAACACATAAATGGTTATTTCCAGCAGACTTGACCTGCTGTGTACCTACTTGTGTATTTACAGGGCATAAGATAAAACACACAATTCAAAAGCACTGTTCAATCCCTTTCTACCCTCACTGCTCTGTTTAAAATTGCCAAAGCTGGTAATTAAGAGTGTAAAATTATTAATCCACAGAAAATGTATTTTATATTCAGCTAGAAGTGAATTTAATAGACTAAATTATGAATTGTTTGCATCTCTGCCATTCCAAAATTACAAAAATCTGGTGCAAAATGTGCTACTTTTTACAAACCAATTTTACCTGCCTTTATAGTTCAGCAACACTAAACTGCATTTTAAATTCAATCCCAAGTAGTCAACTTCTTGTAGTTCAGTTTGACCTTTTTCAAGCCTTCACTCTTCGTGCTTTAATATGAATTTTCACTTTCAAAACAACAGCAATGTTCTTGAAAGTTTAAGACAGCTAAAGGTACTTTTTTCCCTCTGAAGTGAATCTTAAATGGCAGCTGAAGTTCAACCAATCAGATGTCACAGATCCCACATCACCATATTATGAGACCTGTTGGAATCCCAAACCTGTAAAATGTTTACATTCACTGTGAAAGATGTCCTGTCTTTCTGTCCCTTTCCTGAGAAAATAACAAGGTTAAAAATTCTGTTGACATGCTTTTCTTATCAAGAGCATTATTCAAATCAAGCACATAAAGATGTTTTGGATCATACAATATTTTGCCATTTTCTTCCCATTCCATAACAAAAATAACCTATTTCTTTTGTGGAAAATGCCATTTGAGTCAGACATATGCATAATTTCATGATTTTCTTGTGTCTTCTAAGTAATATAGGATACTATTGGATAATAAGTAATATTACTGCTAGGAATATAATATTCTATACTCCACAGATCAATATATGCTCATAATGTGGTTAACATCTGCAGGTTTTAAAGTTCTTTGTAATAGCCAGGGATCCTGGTTTTCTCCGATTAAAAAATTCCCAATTTTCAGATTTATATATATAGATATATCACCCAGGTGCTCTCAAGTATGTGCTCACCTCTCCAGACAGAAGGGTTGGGTGGTCAGACAGGAGTGCTGAGAGAGGGATACACAATACCAGCCCATTTCCTCTGTTCTTTATAGAGTCAGGCCAGGACAAAAATAGTTTAACTATATGCAGTTTATAATATACAGGTAGTTTAACTATATACAGTTCAACTATTAATATACACCCCCCCAAGTGATATTAATAGCTATCTACAGTATATACTTTACATATAAGGCTATATTCTATCATTGGCAACTAGGAAATTATACCACCACCAATGGCCTCAAACCTAGCACAGGTAAGTTTCATAGATTTAGGGTCGGAAGGGACCTAGTAGATC